TTATTTTTCTGATCGATATCCGAATTGTAGTTTGCCGATTTGTCGTATGTCCTTATATTTCGCTCAATTTGAATAAAATTTATTTCCATATTCATGTTTGTTTTCTTGTTTTTTACATCTTAATTTAAATTTTAGTAACTGTAATGATTATTTATTTATTAATCGATTTAATAAAGTACTGATTTAATTTATTATGCAATTGTAAATTGCAGTGTATTGTAAATATGTTATCACAACTTGTATATTTGCAGAACTTGAATTTACGATCTTTCCGTCCTTTTACAATCTTTCCCTCTTCAGATCAATCTGTGTTATCTTCCCTGTGATGTCATTCTTATAGTAGCTGTGGTTCAATGTTCAGATAATGTGATAAATAACTTTTTAAAAACTTAAATACTTAAAAAAAAATTCAAATCCTGAAAAAGAACAAAATAAATCAAATATTTGTGTTTTTACCTGTGTTAACGAGTTTACCTGCGTTAACAAGTTTACCTGTGTTAACGAGTTTACCTAAGAGGCTGTAAGTGTATCATAAGTAATATGTGACATCAGTATAGAAAACAAAGTCAGTACCAAGAGTTGTAAACTTGTTTATTTGTTTACAGATGTGCATGAAGAGAATTTACCTGTAACACCTGGGATTACCTGTGCCGTCCAAGATGACAAGACCACTGTGTTATGTTTACCTTGTATCTGTGATTTATTTTTGTGATTTGTAATACAATTTGAGCCAAAATTCATTGTCTGTTTTCATTTTTTCAGTGTTTTCAAGTTTTATTTCACTTGTAAACACCTGTAATTAGAAAATAACAAAGGTTAGAGACAATAACAACAAAGAATATTAAAGAATATTAAAGTATACTTAATCCTCTTTACAATGGTATATGATAAATGTATATTAAAAGCAAGTTTCTGGTAGAAAAAGTGCATCAAAAATGATAGTGTGATTTTCCAATAATACTGCCAGGGAGGCCAGTGTGCAGGCCTTGTCAGTGTCAGGGACTGCAGGGTCTCAAGGGACATAACTCTGGGGCAGCCAGTGATGAAAGAGTTAATGATGCAGGAAGGACAATACTTGTGAGGGTCCACTTTAGACAGTTTTCGTTGACACGAGGCACAAATGCCCGACATATTGCCACGTGTAGAATCACTGTCAAACAGCGAAACACGCGTTGAACACAACAATGGATTACCAAGGATTACATTTCAGGAGTCTACAGGTAAGACATATTATTATTATTACTTTATTAGAACAACTGTAGATAAGCGATAATCTACCGCGAAAGACTTTCTCGAGCGACCAGCTCAGAGGCGCGCTGAGAGATTTGTGACATGTCATAGGGAGGTGCGTGCGCAACCGGACGGAAACAAGTTTAATGTTTACATTCCAGCTTCTGGCTTCCTCTTAAACGTGCGACTAGACGTGAGGGTATGAGAGATACTCATTTGTACGACTGAAAACAGACTAAAACATATATATATATATATATATATATATATATATATATATATATACACACACACACACACACACACACACATATGTACACTAGGTCATCCTGGGATAGAAGTCTAAACACATTTAACCGTGGCACAGCTCACGCGCCAATATCATGACTCTCTGTCTAGTGTAAGACGTTTATTCAAACAGATAGATGGCAAATCTGAGACGTAAGGCCTTGTGAACATTTAGATATATAGTGGAGGTTTCATAACAGATATTTAAGTATTGAAATCAAAACCATGTCACATTATGAACATACATTTACATTCAACAATAAGAACAAAATCATAAAACATGATGGGTAATTACATTTCACATTTGGTGGTGCGATAGTTTTGACGAGGTGAATATCAGTAACGGCCAGGGGTCCGGAAAATTTAAAATCCCAATCGGACATTTGCATTTAGGCCACGCCCCCTTCAAATAGCGTATTTTAGTACGACTTTTCACACACATTACAAGTTTACATATTCATAATATGATGAATTATGAATTGTTTCAATTTAAATTGTTTAATTCACCGGACAATTAATAACAAATGATATCATTTTAGATATACATCAAAACATACGTTTGTTTCTGTTATAATAACGATCTGTTAACGTAGTGAACGGTCTAATTAATATTCATGAGTTATATTCATGAGTCTGCTCAAGTGTACGCATTGTAACATTTGGACCGAGACTATTATCCCATATTTGGTTATCGCGTGACCTAACGGGAATTTTTTTTTTTTAAACTAAAGATTTTCTTAAAAACAAGACAGATAATTTAATCAACAATACTAAAATATCGTTGATAGCAATAATTATTTGAATACTTTTTTCATATGTACTTAATTATTGACCATAAAAAAATTGGATATCGATCGTCCGAGAAAGCAAAATGGCGGTCAATCAAGATTCAGTATACGACTAGCTACTGAAAACAATAAAATCTGCAAATCCTCATTGTATGTCAACCAAGTGAAAGTCGTTAGCCACGACTTACAAAATGATCGTCCAGACTTTGAGGGTTTGGCAGATCCGCTCGACTGATCTGCATCGGTTGACTGGCTGTCGTCACGCTTTCGCTTCTTGTCTGAGGTTACATATCGGAGCATTGTGAGGATAATGAGGTACATCAATGATGCAAGGTATTAATGTACAGTTGTAAACACCTTTCACTCAAATTAACAAGATGTTCTGAGTAATTAATCCTCGATTAATCAGTGTCAACTCAGTTTATTGCCTATTACAGTGATTGACCGATTGGACTATCATGTAGGTACGATGTATTTACAGCAATCAAAACAAACAAAGCTTGTCAGTGTAGTTAATCTTCATCGTGTTGCAACTGCAGACAGAAACTGCTCAGTCCTAACTGTTGATCATGTCTGGTCAAAATTTAAGAATGTCCGGACAATACTTTTTAAAATGTCCGGTAAGCAATATTTTAAACCGGACATTTGAGATTCCCAATCGGACATGTCCGGCGCATATGACGGTTTCCGGACCCCTGGTAACGGCCCTTCTCTTTTGAACAGAAAAATATTTTTGTATCCAACCGTGACACTCCGAGAAAAGTTGTGAAGATCAGGACAAAATACATCAAGAATAGAACATTCATCTTTTCGTGTCACCAAACCCTGTTCATCTCTTTCCGTGACCTGACAAACTTGATATTTTCACACAGGTCTGTTTTACGATTTTGTTAGGTTTCTCGATACGATAAACTTTTCGGGACCGACCATAAATATGGAAATATTTGGCCGGAATTCAGCTTTTTAGATGATAAAACTTGCTAAATAAACGGAGATCATAGGTTTTTAAACACAATTATCACCAAAAGATAAACAAATGGTATTAGGGACTGTCATTTACCATTCTTATAGCAGGCTTTGAGGACTACCTAAGCATGTTTGGGTTTGTAGTAATCCATAGCCAAGCTATCAGGCTATAGCAGGCTTTGAGGACTTCATAGCTGATCAGATATATATTCACAAGAATCAGATTCATGCCTTTTTTTTTATTACATTTCAACGATAGGCCTAATCTATGATATCAATACTAGTATTCAGAGACCTGATTTTATAAATACGTGATTTTAATCTCAATAAAATCCTTCCATCTTTAAGAACAAAACATAAATTTGACCATCTGTTGACTCTCAGAGCTGATGTCCAATGTTTCATTATGCACACTGGGATTACAGAGGGTCAACTGTGTGGGGTGGGGTGAGGGTCTGTCTAGCGGGCCTTATGCAGAAGAGGATTTGTTTGGCAATGGGTATTTTGTAATAAGTAGAGTGTAATAGTTCATTTTATGTTGGTTCTATGTGATACCTCCAATGTTTAAGCCTTATGCAGAGGAAGATTTATCTGGTGTGGCCCATTCTGTACGCTGTGATATGAACTTGTTCATTCAAACGTACCTTAATGTGGTACAATCGATATATATTCCAGACCAATTTTACCCGTGTATACCTGAAGGGTCAACTTTTTGTGGGTGTCTGGCGGGCCTTATGCAGAAGATGATTTGTCTGGCAATGGGTATTGTGCAATAAGTAGAGTGCAATTGTTCATTTTATGTTGGTTTCATGTGGTACCTCCAATGTTTAACCCAGCCCAAATTTTGGGACCCTCTCTGGGGGGTCTGGCGGACCTTATGCAGAGGACAATTTGTCAGGTATGGGCCGTGTTGTACTCAGTAACATGTACCTGTTGATCTAAACTTACTTTCATCTGGTACTTTGAATGTATACTCTGGTCAAATTTTACCAGAGTGTCCACTGAGTGCATTAAGGGTCAACATTTGGGGGTGTCTGGCGGGCCTTATGCAGCAGACGATTTGTCTGGCAATGGGGTTTTTATTCTTAGTAGAGTGAAATAGTTCATTTTATGTTGATTTCATGTGGTACCTCCAATGTTTAACCCAGCCCAAATTTTGGGACCCTCTTTGGGGGTGTCTGGCAGGCCTTTTGCAGAGAAAGATTTGTCTGGCGTGGCCCATTCTGTACTCTGTGAGATGTAACAGTTCATTTACACTTACTTTCATGTGGTACCTCCAATGTTTGATCCAGCCCTTGAATGGCCCCTTCTTTTGGGGGGCCAGGGGCCACACGCAGCAGGGGCTCCCCGGCAGACATCCATATATGAATATGTTGGGTTACACAGTAAATGTTCCTGTGTTCGGATATTGGTACCTTGTTCGTTTGACCAAAGTGCTCTGGGCTGCCGCTCTATAAAGAGGCTGTACATAATGTTGATATCTCATATAAGAAATAAATTACAAGTGGGAGTTGTTTATCATACAATAAAACACTACAGAGAGAATAAACAACTCGGGGCTGAGCCCCCTCACGGTTTATTCTCCCTGAAGTGTTTTATTGTACAAAAAACAACTCCCACTTGTAATTTACTTCTTAAATACTACATTCCTGTAACACAAACATGATAGCGCTTCATAATCTTTTACCGAAATCTATTTTCTACAGTAGATATAGTCATATTGATTACCTTCCCTACAAGGGTGCTTCCATTCAGTTTCTCTTCATAGGAAACAACCAAGTGATGCCACATGCCAGGGGAAATAACTCCGTCAGAACTCGACTCCTTCATCACTTCCGTTTCGATTGAGCCACTTGTTATCCTGGGTAAAACAAACAGGAATGAGCCAGGTCTGGTGAAATGGGTTTAACATGCTGTGTTGAAGATAACTACACTCATAGCGATGTGCATGTACATGTTTGTGTATAGCTGCTTGTACTAGTCGAGACTAATACCGGTTTTATAGTCCACTGAGAAACCATGCTGTAGTTTAACATGGATATCCCACTCAGACACAGTATACTGACTCCAAGGCGACCAGTTTTTGTTTTAGCCCCTTAATGCCCAGCGCCAGAGTGAGTGAGTTAACGAATTAGCATCACTCAAACCATGAACATGCTTAACACATTGTAACCAGGTGGGATTCAAACCCAGACCTTCAGTCAGAAGAGCAAATGATTTACCCACAAGGCCACCCACTACTCAAATATACAACAATGTAATCATTACAACATACATCACATCCTAATCACATGAGACAAAGATCACCAACTTCACATTACCTGAATACAAATGATCTGGTCCTGACATCGATCCACACTTCAAACATCTTCTCCACATTGCCAACAGAAAGTACATGCAGGCACTCGCACACAGGGTAGTTGGACAGGTTCTTCTGGGAGCCCTCAGACTTGCACTCCCCGTCTACAAATACATTACCAACATCATTTTCTATACACGCAGTTCAATATAGTCTTGAGGGATCAAGTTTTTCTTGGTTTACAGCAAGCTCCTCACAGCGATAGCCCGTTCACGGAGTTCTCTATGCTATCGCAGCCACCAGCCAAAGCTGGAATAGGTGGCTACTACCACTACTCTTACCCTAGCTAAATTACTTTCTTTGTTTGTCAATTTGAATTTCTATTTCATTTCAATTACATGTAATTGGCATAGTAAGAATGTAAGTGTTAAATAGGGTGATTTTCAATTTGTCTGCAATCTCAGACCAATCTGATCAAACAAACAAGAAGTTCTTCTGGGAAATAAGGTTACATAAACCTTTCCAAGATTCACTATGATGCCATTCCCAAAGTCATAAACAAAGGCATGTGACGGACGCTCCCACACTGATGACAGCGATGTTACCGAGAGTGTAACGAAGGTGTCACACGCTGGGAAGGAGTTTGTGTGTACAGATGAGTCTGCCGTCATTGTGCAAAAGTCAAACAAAATGTGCTTATTGAATTTAGAAATTCTTCTTCTTACAGCTCTATATTTGTTCGAGTATTAAAACCAAGATTATCATGATAATGAAGAAAAAATGTTTGATTCAAGGCTGACCATGGTTTCTGCTACTCACTGAAATTGATGGAATTGAAGACAAGGGATGATGAATGATCCTTTCTCAACTTTGGGAGGTGCATGAGAGGGTCGTCCGTGACGTCTGCTACGTTCATCCACCATGACACACTGAAGCCACTGGTGACAGGCGGCCAAGTAATTGAGTCCTTGATGTCACACTGCATGGCTGTTTTAGACCACACATACTGGGGGAAGAGGTCTTCTGATTCTTCTGAAATAATGTCAATCATTAATGTTAAATAATAATGTTTCTCAACAATTCCAAACATTATCGCAAGGTGATCCATTTTTTAAAGTTTTTTTTCTTTAAATGACCAGGGGCGCATTTGGTAGAGCTGTTTTTATGTTTCACTGTTATTTAATTCAAACAAGGAAAGATAACTCTAATTGAAGACTAAAGGGAAAATCAGCAATGGCCCAATTCGGAACCAGGAAAAACAAGAATTGAACTGCTGGGTTTAAAAAGACACACACGACGACGAAAAAGATTTCTTTTTCTTCTTTTTAGACGATGTGGATTCACCTAGTTACTACTAATAATAAAACTAACATTTCTGAAATAGAAACTCACTCATCATTCTCCAATTTTAACAAAAGAGTAATTTCTGTTTTATTCAAGTTATTACAATAAACATATACCCCTAGCAAGTTAACATTTGACATAAATATGTCTTTTTCCAAAGGTAGTCAGTACAAACTACAGGAAATATAATACATTGAACTGTTGCTAACGAAGGACCTTGACCTCCTGTACAAATGTCTGACCTGTGTCTGGAGGAGCTGGTTGCTGTGTACGGGATGTGGGGAAGGTAACGGTGTAGCACGGCTCCACCTGGGAGTTCTCCACGACACTCATCAGGGTGGACAAGATGGAGTCCTGCAGGGAGCAAACATCAACTGCATCAAGGTAGTATTCTCATTCAAGTAGTTAATTCTTTGTTGCGTTTAATGCCACACTCAGCAATATTCATTATTGTAAATAATCAAGTCTGGACCAGACAGTCAAGTGACTGACATCATTAACATTGATCTAACCGATTGGGATACGATGACACACATCTACCAAGTCAGCGAGCCTCACCACCCGGTCCCGTTAGTCGCCTCATACAACTCAAGAAGACCAATTGCAACCCACATCTTCACTGGGGCTTTCTCATTCAAATACAAACAAACATGGGAGGATGGATAATGTTAAGTTTGTAAAAGACCCCCCTTTTTAATAAACTTGGAACAATTAAGGTCCTTAAAATTGATAAACATGTAAAGACTTATTTAGATTAAGCCGGAAGGAGGACAAAAGACAAGATGGCTCTGGTTCTGGACTCACCGCTGGGAATCCCTCGACGAGGAACAGTCGGATGTACAGTCGCAATTCATTGGCTGCTATTTCTGTCTGTGCAAGAAGTTGGATCAGAGATAGCAGAATCTCTCGAAGGGCCAGCTCTGGAGTCAGAGAGTGGAACAATCAACTTTAGACAGTCCATGTCAACAAATACTTCAGACAGCCCATGTCAACAAACACTCCAGACAGTCCATGTCAACAAACACTCCAGACAGTCCATGTCAACAAATACTTCAGACAGTCCATGTCAACAATCAGCTTTAGACAGCCCATGTCAACAAACACTCCAGACAGTCCATGTCAACAAACACTCCAGACAGTCCATGTCAACAAACACTCCAGACAGTCCATGTCAACAAACACTTCAGACAGCCCATGTCAACAAACACTCAAGACAGTCCATGTCAACAAACACTCCAGATAGTCCATGTCAACAAACACTCCAGACAGTCCATGTCAACAAACACTCCAGACAGTCCATGTCAACAAACACTTCAGACAGCCCATGTCAACAAACACTCCAGACAGTCCATGTCAACAAACACTCCAGATAGTCCATGTCAACAAACACTCCAGACAGTCCATGTCAACAAACACTTCAGACAGTCCATGTCAACAAACACTCCAGACAGCCCATGTCAACAAACACTCCAGACAGTCCATGTCAACAAACACTCCAGATAGTCCATGTCAACAAACACTTCAGACAGCCCATGTCAACAAACACTCCAAACAGTCCATGTCAACAAACACTCCAGATAGTCCATGTCAACAAACACTCCAGACAGTCCATGTCAACAAACACTCCAGACAGTCCATGTCAACAAACACTTCAGACAGCCCATGTCAACAAACACTCCAGACAGTCCATGTCAACAAACACTCCAGACAGTCCATGTCAACAAACACTTCAGACAGCCCATGTCAACAAACACTCCAGACAGTCCATGTCAACAAACACTCCAGATAGTCCATGTCAACAAACACTCAAGACAGTCCATGTCAACAAACACTCCATGTCAACAAACACTCCAGACAGTCCATGTCAACAAACACTCCAGACAGTCCATGTCAACAAACACTCCAGACAGTCCATGTCAACAAACACTCCAGACAGTCCATGTCAACAAACACTTCAGACAGCCCATGTCAACAAACACTCCAGACAGTCCATGTCAACAAACACTCCAGATAGTCCATGTCAACAAACACTCCAGATAGTCCATGTCAACAAACACTCCAGACAGTCCATGTCAACAAACACTTCAGACAGCCCATGTCAACAAACACTCCAGACAGTCCATGTCAACAAACACTCCAGACAGTCCATGTCAACAAACACTTCAGACAGCCCATGTCAACAAACACTCCAGACAGTCCATGTCAACAAACACTCCAGATAGTCCATGTCAACAAACACTCAAGACAGTCCATGTCAACAAACACTCCATGTCAACAAACACTCCAGACAGTCCATGTCAACAAACACTCCAGACAGTCCATGTCAACAAACACTCCAGACAGTCCATGTCAACAAACACTTCAGACAGTCCATGTCAACAAACACACCAGACAGTCCATGTCAACAAACACTCCAGACAGTCCATGTCAACAAACACTCCAGACAGTCCATGTCAACAAACACTCCAGACGCTCCATGTCAACAAACACACCAGACAGTCCATGTCAACAAACACTCCAGACAGTCCATGTCAACAAACACTCCAGACGCTCCATGTCAACAAACACTTCAGGCAGTCCATGTCAACAAACACTCCAGACAGTCCATGTCAACAAACACTCCAGATAGTCCATGTCAACAAACACTCCAGACAGTCCATGTCAACAAACACTTCAGACAGCCCATGTCAACAAACACTCCAGACAGTCCATGTCAACAAACACTCCAGACAGTCCATGTCAACAAACACTTCAGACAGCCCATGTCAACAAACACTCCAGACAGTCCATGTCAACAAACACTCCAGATAGTCCATGTCAACAAACACTCAAGACAGTCCATGTCAACAAACACTCCATGTCAACAAACACACCAGACAGTCCATGTCAACAAACACTCCAGACAGTCCATGTCAACAAACACTCCAGACAGTCCATGTCAACAAACACTTCAGACAGTCCATGTCAACAAACACACCAGACAGTCCATGTCAACAAACACTCCAGACAGTCCATGTCAACAAACACTCCAGACAGTCCATGTCAACAAACACTCCAGACGCTCCATGTCAACAAACACACCAGACAGTCCATGTCAACAAACACTCCAGACAGTCCATGTCAACAAACACTCCAGACGCTCCATGTCAACAAACACTTCAGGCAGTCCATGTCAACAAACACTTCAGGCAGTCCATGTCAACAAACACTCCAGACAGTCCATGTCAACAAACACTCCAGATAGTCCATGTCAACAAACACTTCAGGCAGTCCATGTCAACAAACACTCCAGACAGTCCATGTCAACAAACACACCAGACAGTCCATGTCAACAAACACTCCAGACAGTCCATGTCAACAAACAGTCCATGTCAACAAACACTCCAGACAGTCCATGTCAACAAACACTCCAGACAGTCCATGTCAACAAACACTCCAGACAGTCCATGTCAACAAACACTCCAGACGCTCCATGTCAACAAACACACCAGACAGTCCATGTCAACAAACACTCCAGACAGTCCATGTCAACAAACACTCCAGACGCTCCATGTCAACAAACACTTCAGGCAGTCCATGTCAACAAACACTTCAGGCAGTCCATGTCAACAAACACTCCAGACAGTCCATGTCAACAAACACTCCAGATAGTCCATGTCAACAAACACTTCAGGCAGTCCATGTCAACAAACACTCCAGACAGTCCATGTCAACAAACACACCAGACAGTCCATGTCAACAAACACTCCAGACAGTCCATGTCAACAAACAGTCCATGTCAACAAACACTCCAGACAGTCCATGTCAACAAACACTCCAGACAGTCCATGTCAACAAACACTCCAGACAGTCCATGTCAACAAACACTCCAGACAGACCATGTCAACAAACACTCCAGACAGTCCATGTCAACAAACACTAATCGATCAGATCATTGTAAGTGTATACCTGTGGGTGTATATGAAGACATTATGTATCTGCAAAGTAGACACATAATGAATTGTTTGATACTTAGAAGTTGACCGATGACAATGGAGACACAATTTTATGGATAACAACCTCTTTATTTAACTCTCAAACAAGGCTGACAATGGTATAAGGATCTATACCAAATGTCGCCTTTACAGCAAATAAAGAAATTGTTACCCATAAAATTGTGTCTCCATTGTCATCAGTCAACTTCTAAGTATCAAACAATTCATTATGTATCTAAGAACGAATACTGGCACTCTGTGCCTTCTATAGGTTCAAGGACAGAAAATTTGAAAAATAAACTAGAACAAAATTGTCATTTTGCAGGGTAAATGAATTGCCAGGTGTAGACGAGATAATTTGAAGGGATGTCTGGATCACCTGGACCCCTCCATCTGGACCTGAGACTTGGTCCACAGAAGGATCTCAGGCAACTCCATACTTTAACATTGACCTGTTTTCAGTACCTTGTTGGTCAACAATGGATTTCGTCAGGCTGTCCTTGAAGCCGTCCAGCAGAACCTCCAGGATACCCTGTAACAAACACAACGGCTCACATCGTCGTCAGACAGAGATGCCAACCTAATTGAAGCATTGGAGTAATCAGTGGGGTCAGAAAGAGTAACTCCACATGAAACAAGGTAATGTTAACAGTACCATCAGGTCCCTCTCTGCATCAGCAACATCTGATCGATAACATGACTTGAGTCTGTCTAACCATAACCACCAATCACTGACTTTATATCACTGAGTAATGAATATCTTAACACCATGTACATTTGAGCATGGCTTAGCATAGTCTCGTTGTGGAATGCTGCATATCACTGGTGTATTAACAATTTTGCTCACTGTGATATTTTATGCATGTAAAATATGTGATGAAAATGAGAAGGACAAGCATAAAAGAGTAACTTTAGACTCAAATTTGTACTTATTACACCAAAGTCGTAACGTTTGGCATTACCATCTTGGAACAGAAACAATGAATAATGAACAATGAATACGTTGCATTGAATAAAGTAGCATTTCTCATAAACACTGTTTTAAACAATGTTGCAACCAGATACAAAATATTGGAGCCAAGATTACCTCTGAACACATCCCCAAAACAGCAGGGGGACTACTACGCAGCATCTGCAGCAGCCGTAACAACACGGACAACACCACCTTGCTGACGGCCGCAGAGTTATAAGTAGTGATGGCCAGCTCCACGAATAGTCGGAACACGGATGGGAAGCAAATGGTGTCTGCATGCTTCAGACGGTTGTCGTGGCTTGTCTGCAGACCTGGAGGACATAGAGGAGTAGGTGAGTGAGTTGGGGCTAATGCCGCTTTGATCAGTTATACCACGGCATTGAGGACGTACAGTGAGTCTTACTTTTCTTCCAGTCATTGTGCATGGTGGTTTCTGTGTCTGCCTCATAACCATGTTCAGTCCATACCGCCTCCTCCTCCTCGCTCCCTCCGAAGTGAAGCAGCTCTCGGTACTCATCCTCATCCACCATCTCCTTGTCCTTCAGATTCTGGGTCAAGGTCAAACAACGGAAATGATACTGTGGGCATCATCCAAGAGTTCAACAAAGTACTTGTATATTCCCTTGGTCAGACGACCTTGATATTTACCCTTCAGGTATAAGGTGAAGGTCAATTTAGGAATAAAGGGTAATGGAGAAAATAGGTTATAGGTTACACACCTACGAACTGATAGTTTATGTTATTCAATGGACAGTCAGCCAGACTCCAGCTACATAATTATCATAATGGTGACTTAATGATTTAGTCTGAACAAGATAAACCATTGTGTTTTCTGGGTGCCGTTGTACAAAGTGATCTCAGCGCTAAGGTGATCGTAACTCCAATACCTTACCTCAGATTTACGACAGCAGTAGTGCTAAGGTGATCGTAACTCCAATACCTTACCACAGACTTACGACAGTAGTAGTGCTAAGGTGATCGTAACTCCTATACCCTACCACATACTTACGAGAGTAGTAGTGCTCAGGTGATCGTAACTCCAATACCTTACCACAGACTTACGACAGTAGTAGTGCTAAGGTGACCGCAACTCCCATACCTTACGACAGTAGTAGTGCTAAGGTGATCGTAACTCCCATACCTTACCACAGACTTACTACAGTAGTAGTGCTAAGGTGTTTTTTACAACAGCATCCAGGTCCAGAAAAGCTAGGCATTAAGTAAGCATATGATTTACTGAATTTACTATTAAAACCTTCAACATTATGATGAGTAAATAACACGCAATGGCGCCACTCACCAACATGGCAATGATCTGGTCGTAGGAGTACTCGAGGATGGATGGCAGCTGCGGCAGGGCGGTGTTGAGCAGCATGTCGAACACTGCCTTCAGCTTGGTGGGGTCCAGTTTCACACACTGCTGCAGGGAGTCGCGCAGCTGCTTCCAGTGAGCCTCCTCGCCACCCTTCTGTACACACAAGTCAAGCAGTCAGCTGGTCAATATGTTGGTCTGTTTATTGTTTTATTGTTTATTGTTTTACTCAGCAATATTCCAGCTATATGATGGCGGCCTGTGTAAATAATCAAGTCTGGAACGGGCAATCCAGTGATCAATGGTGTGAATACGATCCAGGCTGCCTGGGTGTGATGACACGCAATCAACCAAGCCTGATCACCAGATCCATTAAGTCGTCTCTTACAACAAGCAAAGGTTTCTGGGGAGCAATTCTAACCCGACATCCCCACATGGTAGTCAGTCAGTGGATGAGAGGGAAGATCCAGCAACATACGACCGGGGAAGATTAGATTAAAATAGGTCCTCAGCAACCCAAGATTGTCGTAAAAGGGTACTAACCGGATCGGAAGGTCAGGCTCACTGACTTGGTTGGTGCATGTCATCATATTCCAATTGTGTGGATCGATGCTCATGATGTCAATCACTGGTTTGTGTTGTTTAGACTTGATTATTTACAGACTGCCATAATATAGCTGGAATATTGCTGAGTGTGGCATTAAACAACAAACAAGCAAACAAATCAAGCAGCATACCAACAACTAACTTCTCACATATTGTACCCAAGTAGGAGACCAAGTTTTTGGTGGGACAAGAGAAGGTTTTAGTCACTGGTCTCCACTCCTATCCATTTAAAATTTACCTCAAAATTATTTTCCTTTCATGGAGGTATAAACATTTGAGATTTGAGACCAAGTCATGTTCATCAAGTTTATGACAAAAATGTAGGACATTAATGAAGGTGTGATTGAAGGATCAAGAAAAAAAGGTTAACTGAGGTTAAATATAACTTCAATGTTTACCGTTATTTCTTTCAACACTGTTTAATGGACATTACCTTTTGATTTGGTGAGACTGTGTGACATGAGAAGCAGACGATCATCACGGCCTCGATGAAGGTGAGCTTCTTCAGATGACAGGAGAAGGACCTCACAGAGCTGGTCTCCGTGACAGACGACCTTGACTGGCACAGCTCTCCCCCCATGTCATCCAGAAGCTCCAGAGTCAGTAGCAGAGTTTCCTGGACAATGTACAGACATGGAGAGTTCCTATAGAAGGACCTGAATGTCGGACTATTCATACACAGCTTGGCACAGGTCTGCCACATGTCCTGTAGCAAGGGCAGGTCTTTAACAATATCATGGTGACGGGCCGGCAACGGGGTGAAAGTCGAGTCATCCTCTGAACCGCTATCCTGTTGGTCCGTTCCACTCCCACTGCTGCCATGCTTCTCCAAATGCAGCTGTTGAAATGCTGCAGTTATTGCACATGTCTTCTTTGCCAGGATGTCAATGAATATCTGCATCACAGTTCCACGGATGTACTCAGAAGTCAGCTTCGTGACTTCTTCTGCATTCTTTGTTTTCATCTCTCTCACCTTCTGTTCATCGATCATTATCAATGCCTCAAAGACTCCCATGACTGGGGCTCTCAAATGACTGTCCTCCAAGAGGTTGTTGAGTCTGGAAAGACCCTCTTTCTCCACAAAGACATTCATGACTTTGTCCACTTGTAGCACGTAAGGCAAGGCTGACACACAGTACAGCATGATAGAACTTGGGACCTTCCCTAAGGAAATCAGTTGTTCATCAGAAGAAGTGTCAGTCAAGGACATTATCTCAGTGGAGTCCTCCAGAGCAGAATGCACAACATGTTGATAGACCTTGAAGAACAACTCTTGCTTCAGGTCGCTGTTTCCTCTAATGGCTAACACAATCAGATGCTTGGCAGTTATCAAGGCAAGACTTTCATCAGGGGACACAATAAACTGTCTGAACACCTGAAGAGGACGCCACCTCTGTAATGACCACAATTTCTTTGCTTCAAGTCTATCACTGCTAGAAAATCCACTATCAATTATTCTTGACAGGTCTCCCATCCCTTCTGGAGATCTAGCTGAAGAAGCCATGGAAAACTTATCTTCAAATGTACACAACTTACACAGATTTATCTCTGGTAGCTGTTTGTCAGTGAGTTCTTCTGAACCCATGAACTGGTCCAGGAGGATGTCATTGAGGGACTCCAGGCTGCAGCTTCTGATGGCGGGGGAGAAGCTGGGCAGCAGCGGTGTCACAGCTTCAATGATGGTCTTGGGATGCATACAGCAGCAGATCCCAGGATGTCTGAGGGTTGAAAGGATCTGCAGCTGCAGTTTGGTGGACTTGGTTTCCGCCAGCATGTCCAGGAGAAGTTGTGTCAAGACGGCGATCTGGCACTTACTGGGGTTGGAGGACCAGGACCTGTGTCTGTTGTCGCCACCTGCCTCCGCCTGCTCCAACTCCAGACCTGATGGGTAGCCCAGGATGTTGTGGTGGTGGCTCAGGTACATCTGGTACTCACAGTTCCTGTGGCGTCTCTTCAAGCATTTCACTGCATGGATGTAGTTCACCTTCACCATCTTCAGAGTACTGATGAGAGAAGCAATATTCTTTAAAGGATCTTCTAGAAGTTCCTCTTGAACACTACCCAAGTCTATTTTTGTCATCTTTGATGAATATACCAATTTCTTGATGTACTGGAAACCGTTATTTGTTTTGAAGCAATCCAGTATTCCCAAGGCACAGTTAATAAATGAAGGATTAAATGGAAGACTTGCAAATACTGTTTCAAAGAGAAGGAGCAGTCCACATATGACATCCATCACAAGGTCAAAGTGGTCTGATTCTATGTTGTCACAGAAATCTGAACTAGGATCTGCGAAAGAGGAAATGGCTGACATGATCAAGCTAACAGCATTGTGTCCCATCAAGATCTTGACACCACTCTGTTGGGTGGCAATGATTCCACTTGCTGTCAAAATCAGACGGATCAGATGTCTCTGAAGAGTCAACTTTGTTCTGTCCTTCCAGTTTATTTTAGAAGCATTTTCAGATGACTCTTTCTCACACAGACGGGAAAAAATATGAAGTAGATGCGGCAGCATTGTAGGTGACATGACCTTGCCAGGGGCAACATGGGAAAGGTCAAGGATACAAAGGTCAAGTAAGAGGTCAAAGATAATGAGAGTAAGTTCTGCTGAACTGACAGACTCCTGCACACTGGGGAAGTCCGGGAAAGCTCCAAGCAAATCCTGGTCAGAACCTGAATCGTCATCTTCCTGAACTCCGGTAGATTTGAAGAGCAGTACTCTAGTTGGCCGTCTTGTTCGAGAATGTTTGATCTTGTCCTCTTGCACCTCTTCTTCCTCACTCTCAGAATTCTTCTCCTGTGCAACAGAACCAGACATTTTTGTAAACCTTCGTTTTCTGTGGTACTGAGTTTCTGTGCCATGACGACTGGGATGGTTGGGATGCATGCATGTTTCTCTCTGACAACCGAAGCTCTTCAGCTTTGAGAGTTTCTGAGTGTACACAAAACACTGCTGCACGGGCATCCAGGTCTGTTCCCTCCCTACAAACAGAAAACTAATCCTTACAAATATATATAGCAGGTCCAGACAGTAAAATACAACAAAACAACAAAAAACATGATTTTTTAACACTGTATTGGTAGTGGTAGAGGGCTTTCCCATGCTATACTGAACAAATTAAATTAGGGATCATGAATATTTTTTAGGATATTTCAAATAGTCTTCACTACAAAAACATGTCCCTAAAAATATTCATGATCTCTAACTTCTTTTGTTCAGTATATTTCTGCATCACACTTTAATCACACTTGGGGATAAAACGGCATTGATATTCATAGTATATCAAGTTTAATAAAATTACAATAATAAATACCAACTTTATCACATACACAAACAAGGCTGCTTAATGACAGATGTAAACGTCGACATAAGTAGATCTTTGTATCAACCTAACTGTCCTCAGTGAGCTAAGTACTCAATACACAAGCTTGTCCTAAAAACTGCACCTTTAAAGATGATGGACTCTGTGGGCGGTTGCGATGGCTGGAACTGGATTGCCCAGGGCAGAAGGGACAGCAGCAGGTTGCACAGGTCTCGACTGTTGGATAACGTCTGGAAGGAAAAGCAGGCCACAGTAATACATTTATCACCTGACTGTGAGATAATAAAACTATTAAGGAAAACATGTAGTGAAAAGGATAGTGCTACCTTGACCCCGACACTGTGTATGATGCCTACCTTGACCCCAACACTGTATGCTGCCTACCTTGACCCCGACACTGTGTATGATGCTTATCTTGACCCCGACACTGTGTATGACGCCTACCTTGCCCCGACACTGTATGCTGCCTACCTTGACCCCGACACTGTACACTGCCTACCTTGACCCCGACACTGTACACTGCCTACCTTGACCCCGACACTGTGTATGACGTGGAGCAGCTTCCATCCTCGGCCCTCCAGGAGGTAGTGCTGCAGCTGAGACGAGTCGCTCTCATCCTGGGCACTGTTGGACACCAGCAGGATGTCATTCATCAGCTCCTGACTCAACTGGTTGCTGATGTTCTTCATGTTTCTATGGAGGCAAAAGGGGGAGGAGCTTTGGATTGATGTTGGTCTCAGCAATACTGCACACCTGTAATCTCAGGTACTGCGATAACAATGATGTTGTACTTTTGCATAATTGGAAATTTTATCATAAACTGTATATTTTTATACTTATCAGTGTTAGAAATTGTCACCAGTCCTTTAGTCCTTGCCAAACTGCTCAATAATTAAGGTTTGTCTGAGATTGTGTGACAGTTTGTCTCTCTGTCTCTGACAGCAGTAAATGCAATACGAGTAATGCAGGATAAGTTAAAAAATTACAATTTTTAATAAAATTAATATTTTTAAACTTATCTATCTCACACGATCTTTATTCCCATGGTGGGCCACAGACACCCTAGCCTACAGACTACAAACACACCTAAGTAATGCATCAAGGCAGAGGGAACATGCCTCAGACATGTCAGATGACTCACATTAAATCACATGTATGTATCGAGACCAGCACAGAGGCTGGTACATGTATTCTCACCCATGTCTGCTTCAAATGTCTATAAAAATTCCCACATTGGGTGAGTGAGTGAGTGAGTTTATGCTCACATAGGCAATATTTCAGCCATATCGTGATGATTTTCCCACATTGGAATTAACACGTTCCCAATTCCTATTAATATAGTTCTCATGGTTATATGTAACATCATGGCTTGGTCATGTCGACTTGTATTTCACTGACAGCATGACCAATACAGAAGCCTAATTAGGAAGAGGCTTTAAATAGTTAGTTTTACATTATTAAATGTAACGTCAATATACAAGGTTAAAAGACCACTAAAACTAAGAAACAAGGAACCTTTTGAACATACAATATTTCTTTTCCCAATCTGCTTGACAAGGGCTCTTAGTTTGGAATCCAAGCAAACACCCTGTATCATGAACCCATGGTTTATTTATAGTCCTGTGCAAAATATGCCTGCATCGGATATGAGATTTTGATTCAAGGGTTCTTTATGTCGTCTGCAGGAGTCAGTTCCTGTGACGAGGGGAGCACTACTGTTACCACTATTACTACTCCCTACTACTACTTCTACTACTACTACTCCCTACTACTACTGCTGCTGTTGCTACTACTACTACTACTACTTCTACTACTACTACTCCCTACTACTACTGCTGCTGTTGCTACTACTACTCCCTACTAATACTTCTACTACTACTACTACTGCTGCTGTTGCTACTACTACTACTACTCCCTACTACTACTACTACTGCTGCTCTGCTACTACTCCCTACTACTGCTGCTGTTGCTACTACTACTCCTTACTACTACTTCTACTACTACTACTGCTGCTGTTGCTACTACTACTACTACTCCCTAGTACTACTTCTACTCCTACTACTGCTGCTGTTTCTACTACTACTACTCCCTACTACTACTTCTACTACTACTACTGCTGCTCTGCTACTACTCCCTACTACTGCTGCTGTTGCTACTACTACTACTACTACTCCCCACTACTACTTCTACTAATGCTGCTGTTGCTACTACTAGTACTCCCTACTACTACTTCTACTACTGCTGCTCTGCTACTACTCCCTACTACTGCTGCTGTTGCTACTACTACTACTACTCCCTACTACTACTACTACTGTTGCTACTACTACTGCTTCTACTACTACTACTACTGCTGCTGTTGCTACTACTACTACTCCCTACTACTACTTCTACTACTATTACTACTGCTGCTCTGCTACTACTACTAGTACTACTACTACTGCTGCTGCTGCTGCAGCTACTACTATTACTACTGCTGCTCTGCTACTACTACTAGTACTACTACTACTGCTGCTGCTGCTGCAGCTACTACCACTACTACTGCTGCTGCTGCTACTACTACTACTACTGCTGCTGTTGCTACTACTACTACTCCCTACTACTACTTCTACTACTATTACTACTGCTGCTGCTGCTGCTGCTACTACTAGTACTACTACTACTACTGCTGCTGCTGCTGCTGCTGCTGCTACTACTACTACTACTGCTGCTGCTACTACTTCCTACTGCTACTGCTACTGCTACTACTCCCAGTGAGGGTCATGAGCATTACTTACAAGTCTAAGAAATACAACTTGTATCAACATGGGAATAACATGGTAAATGATTGAAATGAATGGACAGTGTGCCATACCATAAGAATGGTAACATGGACATTTTATCTTCACGGTCATGGTGAGCTAAATTTGCAAGCGAAACATTTTAGGTACTTTTGTCATAATTCCATTATTTGCTCTGTATCCTTGGCAAGAAGCAGAAAGATACTACTGACTGGGATCCCCACAACCCATTCAGAACAAGCTGGTTTATGTTCCTGCCTTATCAGGCAGCACCCATCAATCACATACAATGCCTGACCCAACAGCGACCTTGTTTTTTCCCCCTGCTGTTACACATTCTGCACTTTTTGTACCTACATAAAGTACATATCTGTGGTGCCTGAGCCTCATCACGCCTGCCAGCATGCGTTGCATGTCATACCTTAACCTACAAAACCTGCTTTCTTAATTGATATATCAAAATGGAGACCAACAGACAGTCATGATGTAAGATTTTACACCAGTCATGGCAGAGATAGTTTTTTTTTAACTCAAATCGTTTATGACATGTAAAAAAACACATTCTGCCATCAATTTGGAGATTACTGTAATCTGATTGGTCAATCAGGAGTTACAAATCCCATTAACATGCCTCTTATTCCAGCATATACCACATTACAGTGAAAATCAAACATTTTTTTATAAGGAAGAACTTGACCAACAATAATCATGATAATGACAAACAATGTTGTGCTATTGCTTGTTTGTTTGTTTATTTGTTTGTTGTTTAGTGTTGCGCTCAGCAATATTTCAGCTATATAACAGCAGTCTGAAAATCTGGACCAAACAATCTAGTGATTGACATCATGAGCATCTATCATTGTAAATGGGATATGTTGACAAGCATTAACCAAGTCAGCGAGCCTGACCACATTATCCATTTGGTGACAGACAAGACAGACAGACAGACAGACAGACGGACAGACAGACAGCATTTTATTCAGTATTTTGGTCTTGTGACCAGACGTGACCAAGAGTACTTAAGAATTGACCTTCACTTTGTGTGAGTTCATTGGAGTATGAAGGTTCATACTCCAATGAACTCACACAAAGTGAAGGTCAATTCTTATAATTTTTTTATCACAATTTCTTACCTCAAAAGATGTAGGCCTAGATCTAAACACAATTTTATTTAGTACGTGTGACTTCATGTTTACACTGACAGCCATACAACAACCAGCTATATCCCGGAGTAAAATAGTTCCTCAAAAAGCGAGGTGACATGGGCGTATGGATGCACAACTTGCTCTTCAGAAACATCTTACGCAGCACATGTGTTCAAATCATATCCTCGTTAGATGAGAAAGGTCTGTAAAGAACTACCTCCGTAAGTCAGTCACAATGACAGCGCGTCGTAATACATTTACATCAAGTACAAGACGTCAAAATGGCCGACACGATAAACGTTACGGGAGAGATTTCATACACTTATGAACGTCAATTTCGCGGTCATGTGACCGACCTCTCATCCAATGGAAAAGCTGTATATCGTGTAAACTTCAAATAAAAAAATTATAATTAAATGAACAGAATATAGTTGTAACCATGTGACTGACAGGACATTTGCTAAATCATGTAAGTTGCCTCTTACTACAAGCATGGGTTCATGAAGGCTCATTCTAGCCCGGATCTTCACAATAGTGCTGATTGTATCTCCATGATAGTGGCAAGGTGATATGTTGTGCTATTGTTCATCATTTTATATCAGTGACATCAGATGCCATATAATCTAATACAGCTTCTCACACTCACCCAAATCTGGGAGTTCCCTGAGGTCCGGCAGTCACCATCAGGTGCAGCTTCAGGAACTTGTCCAAGATCACATGGCGCTTCTACAAAAAATGAATGTCATTCAATATAACAAGAACGGAAACTATATCAGATGATTAGTACGAATGTAATCATGTTACTAGCATTCAACCATGAAAGTGTAAACACCCTAGCCCTGGAGGATTGCCAACCTGAGGTAGAGTACATGTCGTAAACATTTAACATGTTTAACATGGTCTGTGTGTACTCCATTGAACTTTCATTCTCAACTCCCTGGGGAGTAGACATCCCAAGCTTCAACTGATTTGTGGCCCGTGCGCTGTACACACTGCCACATGTACATTTCTCTTTGTTTTTATCTCAGGTTACATTAGTAAGCGTGTTACACTTTATTCTGATATTAGTACATAATATTGGTGAGTGTCTTATTTTCTTATGTACATATTTTAATATGATATGTTTTCTTTTTTTCATATTTTAGTGCGAATCAACTGTGCAATTTGAATTTCCCTTGGGAAAATTATGTCTTCTCTTTTCTTATCTTATGTAAATATACACATAATACAAGAACTGGAAACATATACAGCAATTAACACATAGATATATAGTGATGTTAATGATCACAAATATTTACATTAACAATTAATACTGGTTATATTATTGTGCATGACAATGTTTTGGATATGACTGATTGTGTTATGATGTGCCAGGGTGGAAGAGATACACATCTGATTACAGCTGTCACAATCAGCACTCATCAAGGACAATACAACTCAACTGTCAATCAATACTGATATATAGGTCAATATTACTTATATGGCCATGTGATAAAACATGATATACACCAGTCATATCTACATATATACACAGACATCATGGTCGTACTGCTGTATCTATTACAGAGAATGTCCTGGAATGTCCATGTACATTTGTACACAAGAATTGATTACACTTCTATCACATCACTACATGGTAACCATGATGATATCTCTATGCTAGCTGTTGCGTCAAATTGCTGTCGGTGTGTGCATACATAATTTAAAGAAAACGTTCTTCTTCTTCAAATTATTTGGCATTGATGAATGCGATTTTAAAAATAATTGATCTCAAAGCTGACAACAGCCCTGTGATGCTAGTGAGAGATGAATGAAGGAGTGAGTGAGTGAGTTTGGTTTTACGCCGCTTTTAGCAATATTCCAGCAATATCACGGCGGGGGACACCAGAAATGGGCTTCACACATTGTACCCATGTCGGGATTCGAACCCGGGTCTTCGGCGTGACAAGCGAACGCTTTAATCACTAGGCTACCCGACCGCCCGATGAATGAAGGAAAAAGGTCACAATGATCACCTTGGCTATATTACAGAGGCTTACCATCAGTCTGCCACCACGCTGTAAGGGATTAACAGTAGTTGTGTTTTACACGCAAAGGGGGCATCTCAGTTCACGCCCAGCTTGAGGACTGTCACCAAGGTGCATGTGAACTTAAACCAGCCTAATTTCGTACAATTGATAAGGTGAACATCATTCACGCTAATCATTGAATTAAATAGAAAATTATATATGTTGACCGCTATGTTTGTTTGTTTGTTGATTGATGCCACACTTAGCAATATTCTAGCTATATGACGGCGGTCTGTAAATAATCAAGTCTGGAACGACAATCTAGTGATTGATATCGTGAGCATCGATCTATGCAATTGGGATACAATGACAGGCAGGCATTGGTTGCTGAAGACCTATTCTAACCCGGATCTTCATTGGTCTGACAGCTGTGTAGTACCATGTTAACGGTATATAAGCTTGCACAATGTCATATATCATCATTGCATATTATAAGCGTGATAAGATGTACAAAAAGTTATCTGATATAACATACAAATGTCTATATGACAATTTATATAAAAATGATAGGTCCAAATGTAGAATGGAAACAAAAGTTTTGAGATGACCCACGCTTGGTGACCTTCTCTTGTCTATCCAGTCAGCATGGTCAGTTCGCCTGATTGCACGCCCTATCGGAAACAATAGTGGTGGCAAATCGAGGAGCCCCCATCACAGCAGCCTGCAAATGGCAACAATGACAGTACTGATTGTTGTCTGTAAGTCTTGAAGGTGTGGAGGATACACAAGACAAGGTGATAAAGTATAAAGTGGCACACGTAGTCCCAAGGTACTGTTATCACCAGATATTCAGAATGAGCAAAACGCCAAATGAAGTGAGGATAATGTATTTACGATAACACAATCAGCTAAGTGAAGATTGTAACAGCCCAACCTTGTGTGATGATAATAACATGTATATTTACTGTGCACAAATCCATGCTCAGAGTGCTACATTATTACCTCGGTCAATGGGTCAGTGTGCACTCAATGTTCATTCTCAGCTCCCTGGGGAGTATATAACCTAAGCTGCCTGTAGGGCACCAGAAGGAAAACAGTCACACCTTACTGGGTACTCCTTCACTGCTGCATCTAAGTCATCATATATACTACTCAAAAGAAACTAAGGATCACCTGATTCTTTCTGGTGGTATGACAGAGTAATTAGTATTAGTATTATACCTGTGAAGATCCGGGTTAGAATTGGTCTTCAGCAACCCATGCTTGTCATAAGAGGCTACTAACGGATCGGGTGGCTGACTTGTTTGATGCATGTCATCGTATCCCAATTGTGCAGATCGATGCTCATGATGTCAATCACTGCATTATCTGGTCCAGACACAATTATTTACAGACCACCGTCATGCTCATCATGCTCATGATGTCAATCACTGCATTATCTGGTCCAGACACAATTATTTACAGACCACCGTCATGCTCATCATGCTCATGATGTCAATCACTGCATTATCTGCTCCAGACACAATTATTTACAGACCACTGTCATATTGCTGGCATATTGCTGAGTGCAGTGTGAAGCAACAAAGAAAAAAACTATAGTAATATAAAGAATCCAGTGGTCCTTAATGTCTTTTGAGTAGTATACAAGCAGACAGAGTGTTGGGTGCACAGTGTGTCAATCTCCTTAAAATCTGATCTTAGTTCTCAATGCGGCTAAACAAAAATCTGAGAACATCCTTTTAAGGGGTAACGTCAAAATGACCTTTCGTGAACTTTCACTGACAAATGAAATGACAAACAAGAAGTTGACATCAGTCAATCAGAAAGCAGTTTTCTCGAACTTTGTGGCACAAGTTTTAAATTCCACTCCTGACTACCCTTTGAAAAATATTGATTCTAACTTTGAAAAACGAACAAAAGAAAATTCTGGACGATGACTTTGATGGAATCGGTCGTATCGCCCTTAACTGTCATTCACAATACCATGGTGTTAACCATTTTTTGGTTGCATGATAAGAAAACACATTCCGACTGTCACTTTCCTGATCTGGTAAGCAAAGCTCTGATTGGTGGGATGTAAGGTCGTTCGGACGCGATCTGTAACGGGATGTTCTTAGTTTAGTGGTAGTGAGAACTAAGATCTGCTTGAAATGAGATTTACAGTTTGTAGACAGTGCATACACTTCCCTTTCACAGACATCTTGCAAAGAGCTGTGACAGTACCTCTGTAATAAGTCTGTATTCACCTCCTGGCATGTGCCAAAGACCAACATTCAGTGTCTGAAATAACTGCTTGCCTGCCTGCCTGCCTGCCTGCCCGCAGCAGGTAACTTTTCTGTCGGCCTGCATGAAATTTTCCTCGATCAACTCGAATATCTGGCAGATAATATTCAGACTACTTATGTATTCAGTTTTATTATGAACTCTCAATAAGATTTTCAAGTAATTGTTTGCATTATTTCAACTGAATCAAGACATGATTTGTCTCTTAGTTTTTGCTATTTTTCAATGTTTAGAATGCCTGAATGCAGGCAGGTAACTTTAAAGGTAGGCAGGCAACACTTATGGGTCACATGCCTTGTTGGTCACATGTCTTGGGCTGTAAAATTATTTGGAACACTGCCTACATCCTCTGACCTCTGATGCCATGTATTCCACACATAATACACACACCTCAGAGTCAGCCGGGCAGACAAATGTGTGCTATGCACGACATACACATGGCATCAATTCACTGTTATACAACATAACTAAGCCACAAAAAGCTGGTAAACTGGTACCTTTTTAAAAATTCACATAACTTGCATAACACAGTCACATAATACAAGCTTATGAAAGTGTAGACATAAAGAGACACAGGTTTGGACACGCTGTCTGCCGCTGGAATATGATTGCATTAAACAACAAGCACACATATCATGTATATACTTGGCCAAAGAGATTGACAACAAGTATCAAGTTACAATGCATAATGCCAAAAACATAACAAACAACAGAAACTTTGTTGTGATGAACGTCTGATATTTTGCTTGTGTTTCCACAGCAATTTTCTTCCAGCAATTAGGTTTCAACACAAAGATTCAGGGTATTAGCTTCATTCACTTCAGCATTTTAATATCTGCAACATGAAAATAGAGGAATTCTTTTCAGGGATGCAACATAACGTGAAACATTCACTTGCCTGAATAGTGGTGACAGATAAGGTCATCCCTTAAAAGCCTGAATAGTGGTGACAGATAAGGACGACCCTTAAAAGCCTGAATAGTGGTAACAGATAAGGACGACCCTTAAAGGCCTGAATAGTGGTGACAGATAAGGACGACCCTTAAAAACCTGAATAGTGGTGACAGATAAGGACGACCCTTAAAAACCTGAATAATGGTGACAGATAAGGACATCCCTTAAAAAGCCTGAATTGTGTTAACAGATAAGGTCATCCCTTAAAAGCCTGAATAGTGGTGACGGATAAGGACATCCCTTCAAAGCCTGAATAGTGGTGACAGATAAGGACATCCCTTCAAAGCCTGGATAATGGTAACAGATAAGGACATCCCTTCAAAGCCTGGATAATGGTAACATATAAGGACATCCCTTAAAAGCCTGAATAGTGGTGACAGATAAGGACATCCCTTAAAAGCCTGAATAGTGGTGACAGATAAGGACATCCCTTAAAAGCCTGAATAGTGGTGACAGATAAGGACGACCCTTAAAAGCCTG